GAGGTTTAAAAGAGAGATGTTGCTGCTAAACTCACCGTGCTTCTCCTTCCCCTGTGTCCAGGCAAGCAATTTCTTTGCAATCAAATACACGGATGTTTTTTTTTATCTCCATCTGTATTATTATTAGCGTAGTGCGCTGGTCTTTTATATACGTATATACAGTTTCACGGTTGGTTCCGACCTTGCACCCTGGAGGACTTTGCATTGAGAACCAAATAGAGGTATAGCTTTGAAATGCAAATTAGTCCTTAATTAGATTACTATCGTGCAAAATTACTCATTCATTTGAATTGGTGAAATATCCTCATGCAAGATTCATGAAACAGTCTTGTGCTTAAGAGAGGCTGTCCTGGATTGAGCAAAGAGTGTGAATTCTTTATCGATTCTTGGATGCCAACGTGTACCACTCATTGGAGTATGCAAAGGTTAAAATATATTCAGAGAGAGACGTGGGAGTGAAGAGCCTTAGAGCCTAGTCTCACAACACACACAAAACTGTGCAAACCAAACGTGATAAACAAAACGAAATGAGATGCAGCACCGAGAGGGTAAAAACACGATAAAACTCATGGCGAACCCGAATCTAAATTGTGATCTCCAAATCGTGACATTGTATGGCATCGCTTTAGATGGGGCGGTTAAACGCGAAACACCTCAAATGAATAGCGCATTGCCGCTGTCCTGCGAGGACAGGGGGCTATTGAGTCACATGACACGGCCCCCCAATGGACCACTTATGCAGCCCAGAACCATTCGCCACTCACCTGCACACACATCTCTACGCCAACGGTACCCCACTATGTTTACTCGCAGTCTATAAACGAACTCTGCTGCATCTGTCCCCGTAGATGATGGGGCAAGATTGTCGTGGAAGCGTTCACTCAAGGTGACATTGTCCAAACAGGGAACATCGCTTGTAAAACGGAAATAAATTGACGTCTTTATAGAGATTACAGATTTACATTGATAAGAAATACCTGCTCTTATTTATGGCCGACAATTTGCAGGACCACGAACAAAGAAAAGTGCAGCCCGGGAAAAGTCTTGCTCGCACCACTGCCGACGGAAGGACCTCGGCTAAAGATAGCTTTGAAAAGCGCCTCGAGAGGCTGTTTTGCCTGCTACTGTTCCAAGCTGGCCGGACCTCTCGCCACGCTCGACTCTTTTTTTAGGGGTTATGAGATACTTTTTTTAAAGATGTGGTGTGGCATGTTTGCCTTCCTTCTCAATATTTTTCTGAGCTAAAATTCTCACGAGCATTTCAAAGTGAACTATTATTTGACGACGGCGTGCTTAATTAATAACAATAGTATTTTATAACCCTATTATAGTCCACTGCTGGATGAAAGCCTCCCCAGGCCGTGTCAATCATGGCGGATATTTGAACATACTTCACCACAATGGGTTAGTGCGGCTCGGGGAAGGGGCGGGTCCCAGTACTGATCAGATATCACTCGCCACGCTCATGTGAGACGTAGCCGGGAATCGAACCCGGGACCAGGTTCCAGAGCCCGGTGCACGAAAAGCTGTGGTAGGCGCAGCATCTTCGCCCATTTACCGGACGCACACGTGGTGAAATTGTGTTGGGATGAATGTCACCGCGTGCAAAAAAGGAATGTCGACGGACGAGAATCTATATTGCGTGCCACGGTTGTTTTGCACGTCTCACTTTGGAGTCCTTTTAACATAAAAAAAATGCCGCTGTCTCGGATGGGCTATTTCCTTCAGCACCCCCAAGTAAGGTCAAGCACGCAGCGACAATGTTTTTCTTGTGAAAGTAATAACCCGTCTTCGAGTCATACACTGGAGATTTAAAACCGCCCACGATGCCCATGATGATGAGACAGGTTTCGCGGGGGTCCGCACGACCAGCGAACATTGGGCCGCTCCCGTGGGGGTCACGCAACACGCAGCGAGTGACCCTGACGCGTGCCGTCTTTAATTGGTACAGAGGCACCGTGCCACTCGGAGAACGGTCAGCCGATCTGTCGAGAGGGAAGGCGAGCTTGGTTATCAGTGGCAACACGGCTCGGAGACAAAGGTTTTGATGAGACCTGCGCTGACCAGTACGGTGAAGTACGTTCAAATAACCCCCGCCAACCTCGCAGCGTAGAGGGGCCCACGTACAGCAGTGGATGGACAAAATGGATGTGCATGCGTATGTTACTTTGTAACGTATCACTCCCCCCAAGCAGCATGCCGTCGGTGGTGGCGGTAGTGAATTAGCGAATCAGTGGGAGACCTCGCTCAATCCTCTGCCATCTTTAGCCTAGAGCCTGTGGGTCGCAGCTGATTTAGCAGTAAGAACAGCTGCCGCGGCAGCAGCAATAGCCTGTGCTGCCAACTTGGCTGGCTGGCCGCCTTGCCGAACCGTTGTGTGTGCCACCCTGCTGGTCTGCTTCACCGACGTCTGCCAGGAGGAATTTATGACTCGTCATGCACGCCGGCTCATTTGGAGTAAAAAGAGCGAAGAAAATATCATGGTCCGTTCCTCGCAAATCCTGCTTTCATTATTTATATATGCCGTGGTTTCCTAAATCATCGTGTTTGATATTTGAAGAATTGTCACAATCTGGCATCGTGGTTTGAATCAAGAATCAGTATTTAGGATTTTCAACTGTGGTTGACAGCGACTGTGCGTTTGTTCCGTTGGTTTGTCCCGAATGGGAAGGTTTACAATGCCGTTCTTAAAGATGATGCAATATGAACCAAACTTGTTTAAAGTTTTTTTCTTATTTGGGACTTTGTCCATTTCGTATGATACTCCCATATCGCCTTACTTTCCTTCGAGTACCACGGGGAAAATGTTTTAATGAATTGATGAATTCGTCTTCAACCTCTTATATTCTCTATTTTGGTTTAACACGTATGCTTTCGCGACCAATATCCGTAATAGAGGGGTTTTTTTGGGTTAATTCGCGTAAATATATAAATTTGTCGTTAAAACCCGCCACCACCCGACAGGGCCAACTAGTAAGGGTTGTCGCGTAAACAGAACGTGCCAATTCGTCAATAGTACAGCACACCGGTGTGTTGGAGAGCCAAGCCACAACATGTTCTGTTGACAACCCTGACTAGTTGGCTGTGTCGGGTGGTGGCGGGTTTTAACGACACTTATATTTGTAAACTATCTAACCCAAAAAACGTATCTTCTCTATTTTGTTTACTATATATTACGTACTCTTACTTGTTTTGTGATGACACGCTCCATTTAAAAATATTAACTAAAATCACTTTTAATATAAGCATGTATGGTACTGGATGTATACGTGTTTTGCAGTTTACGTTATTTTTTGTTCGATTTGTTTTTGTAAGCCGGGTCTCCGTTGAAGGAGAGATGTGTGGTCTCAATGAGCTCTTACCTGCCTATGAATGCAGATGTCAGTTCTTACATCTGCCTGGCCATACAACCCAACTGCAACTTTCATGAGGAAGTCGTGGACCTCAGCGAGGCTTTTCCTATACAAAGAGTTGTCACTTAAAATTAGAATTACTATAAGTAAAGCGATTAAAAGAAGGCGAGCATCTCGACGCTTCACAGAGGGTGCAAATAAATAATAAATATAATATGCAGGGCATTTAAACAAAATCATAAATCAAACTGCACACTGAGCAGTGTCGATACACGCAAAACCCGTACCATTATTACGACTTACTGGGTTGCTATAAGCACGCCGCTGTGGCTTTTTAAAATGCAATTCCGTTTCTGCAGGAGAAAATATAGGTGATTAATCTGTTTACGAAGAAATGCTCCAGCAAACGCTTCACAATAGCGACCGGTGCGTGCATGCAGTGGAGGATGTAATGGCGTTTGTAAAGAAACTCGGCGTCACGTAATAAAGGAGATTTACATTTAAGGCAGCTGACTGCTACAATTTCCAGGCCATTGGGCTTTAATGCGACATCGAAAATCCCTGTTGAAAATTGTCCAAAGGTAAAAGAGCAATCGCGAAACACTGAAATGTGTCTCGTAAAACCAGTGGCTGCAAAAAATATGGAGGGAAATTGGTAGAAATAAAAAAAACTACGCAATATTTTCACTCGGTGCCAAATATTCATCTAACAATGCATCGAATCATCAATTTAACACAATTCTCATGCTCATGACACATCAGTCAAATAGTTTTTCTCCACTTTATGCAATGTGCATGAAAATGATAAGACATCAAGAACAATAGACTTAACCAAACCGTACAATTGAGACAGAAAAACACATAAAAAAATCGAGACAAAAATACGTATTTTTAAATCCTTTATATTAAGTTCGCTTGCTTGCGTGCTTGCTTGCTTGCTTACGACCGTGCAAATCTTTCGGTCGTTTTTTAACCCACTTCCCGTGATCCAATCGAGCTGACATTTTGCACACAGACTCGTTGTGCGAGACAATGTTCGTGAAAAAAAAATTCCAAAATTTTACACTGTTTAGGGAAAACAAATTAAATATTTAAATACCAATTGCTTAATACTGGCAGACAATCATCTGACCCATAGGTGGCAGCCATCTCAAGCCAGAGGACGAGATGACTCTAGCCGCCACGCATATAAAGGATTTATAGTGAAAAACTTTGTTTTTACGGGTTATACTTATTCTTAATGTGACTGAATCGATCCTGAAAATCTGTCATATCACTGGATGGGTAATCTTTAAATACCTTATGATTTGACCAGGACAATGTGGGTATCTAGAATTAAAACCACAGCGAGGCACCACCACCGCCCCATTTCTGACCACAACCAACTCTGCGTCCCGCACCCACGCGCATTTTCCCCGCATCGGTGGCCAACGGTGCCACCTGTCTGCGCATGCCATCTCGACTCGTGCACCTTTAAAGTTTTCTGTTAATTGCCTAACTAACAACAAAGCATTATACTAACACATCTTCCCCTGCGTCTTTTCTCCCCCCCCACTCCCTTCATGCTCTGCTCACCCTGGTACCATCTGCAACCCCTCCCGAATCCTCAACTCCCACGTCTCGCTCGGCCGTCGTCGCTGCGTGCAGACAGTAACTTCGTGCTGGGCAATGCACAGGTGCCGCAGGGCTACCCCATCGTGTACTGCTCCGACGGCTTCTGCGAGCTCACGGGCTTCTGCCGCACGGAGGTGATGCAGCGCAGCTGCGTCTGCTCCTTCCTGCACGGCGCCGACACGCCGGCCGCGCTGGCGCACCAGCTGGAGTGCGCGCTCGACGCGCAGGAGGAGGTCAAGAACGAGATTGTCTTCTACAAGAAAAGTGGTGCGTTGGCGTGCCGTGGGTGTAGTTGTGCGGTGTGGCATGGGTACATTGGCGCGGTGTGGTGTTGTGGTGTGGCATGAGCGGAGTGGCGCGGTGTGGTGTGCCAAAGTATGGCATGAAAGCGCGAGCTGTGAACGCGGACAAATGTAAATTGAATGAATGAACGAATGGCAAAGCGCCGGAGGTGGCGATCGGGTTAAAGGTAAAGTGTGATTCAGTGGCAGGGTAGCGTTGGCTAGTTTGTTAGGATTATGGAGAATATATTATGACTATTGCCATACATTCACGTAAATCTGATGCTCAGACTTGTCAAGTCAAATCTGGACAGGACCTCATGTATACTCATATATGTGCAGTGGAACAGAAAATTAGATGACACTTGATACTTCAAACCTCAAGAGCTTCACATTGGCTATTACAAGCTGATTTTTATCTTCAATTAAAAGTTAATCCGTAATCATTTCACATGGAGACATTAAAATAATTTACGTATGTATGTTCAACTTATTTCGCATCCTACGGAGCCAATCGTTCTTATCGGAGGTGCGAGGAAAGGACAACAAACTAAACACAAAAAGCCGTTCTAAAAAAATGAGTTTCCAAACTAGATTTAAAAGTGCTTATCTCCAGTGGCTTCCTAATATCGAAAGCAAGAGCTTTCTAGACGGCATTAGAAGTGCATCTGGAAGCGTGTGATGCAGTGACCGTCTTTGTTTGATGGTTAGCCAAAAGCCGCTGCGAGAATGACCGGAATTTGCGTGATGGTTTATTCTCTTTGAAGAGATCAGCAATGTATTGTGGTTCATTTTTGGTTAACACAGAGTACATGCGTTAGAAAGACCAATCATAGCAGCCAAATTAGTTGGTACCTCTTTACAGGAGCAAGTGAAACAACGTGGTGGTAAAATTAAGAGTACATTTCTGAATATAATTAATCCTTGCCACATGCACAGCTGAGTTAAATAGAACAAAGAGGAAAACATTACTTAGGAATATTTTTTTTGTACTTAGGGTGTCATCGTCAGACATGATCAATGCACTGCTGGGTGAAGGCCAAGTAACAAACGACATGGCACCTACACTGGAGAAGATTTGACTCAAAGGGTGGTGGGGAATAAGAATAATCATGACAACTCGTTGGGGCACGGCAACTTTTTATTTTGCAAGGGAAAGTTTCTACTCAACCACGGAGATTGGAGTCATCATCATCATCAGTCTCATATTTCACCATCGCCACGATGGGCTTACTGTAAATAGACACAACGAGGTGAGGTAGTGGAGGGGAAGGAATGGAATGGACAAACATTCACCACTAAGCATACAATCCAACACCTTATATACACCTATCTACAGATAAACACGTGCTGTAGCATGTTCCCAGCAGCGGTGGGTAAGTTTGGCTCTTCGATTTACATCCCCGTCATCGGCAACCCCCTCGCGGCCCCCGAACATTATTATCGCCTGGATATAAAGCAGGGCGTAAGAGTGGTGGCACTGTGATTAACGCACTTTACCATCAACCAGCTGAATGGAGTTTGATTCCCAGCCATCCCTCCTTCATCAACCCTCACTGACGGGAACAGTGAAGTATGGTCATGCAAGCTCCTTGACCGATATGGCTTGGGGGAGGTTTTCATCGATCCAGAAGTTGATTGACAAACTGGCACTAAACTATGATTATGATAAGGTAGTGAAACCTGTCACATGTTGGATCCTTGGTTTACTGCAAGAGGCACAATTTAGGATTTTGGTGTAAAACCCAGGCCCTCTGTGATGATGATTGGAGAGGCCTTCAAGCCCTCGGAGCTATCCCAGCATTTCATTTATTTGAGTCAGATCACTTTGAATTCGCTCAGGGAACACGGCACTGAAGTGCACTCGTAAAAGGCCCCAAATTATCAGCAGGGACAGACTCAAGTGTTTTTGGGGCTTCCATTGGTAAACTCGTGGCAATGCGTTTAGGAGCACCGGTCTATTTATTTATTTGTAAAAATCCCACGTTTCAACTGCCGCATCATCAGTCTGGCATCCCCCCCTTCATTCCGGTGTGCTTATATGGGCACACTTGGACAAGGTGGCAGTTAGGTGGGAAGGAGGTAGTCACTTGCGTGCATATCCCATTAAAACATCGAACATTTAAAATTCGATTTAAAGCTTTCGTGACTGCAGGGATTCATCTTCTTGGTTCTTTCGGTAAAGTCACGTAGAAGGAAAGTAATAACATAATAAAAATAAAACATAATAAAATAATTCTCACGACGTTTCGGCTACAACGCAAGCAGCCGTCTTCAGGTGAAGAATGAGACACTGCCAAGCTTGGAGCTTATATATAAGCTGGGTTGGAGGTGGAAGAAGAGCGACTTGACAAAAGAATTTGCATATCAAGAGAAATTTAGCATATTCATGGGAAATGCGTAGGAGGTGGGCGGGGGGGGGTTAAAAGTCATATTATGCCCATGCATTATGCAGGATTAGCAGCATCAAAGGGAGGGGGTAGGGGTAGCATTAACAAAGGGAGGGAATGTTAATAGTATGGTAGACGCAATGAAACATGTCAATGGAGCCCAATGCATCTCCGACCAGGCACACCATGCCAGTGAACTCAAACACGTACGCCAAGCTCTTAAGGCTAATGGTTACTCCGACTACACAATCCGTAAAGCCATCACTCCAACCATCAAGAAGGATCCTGTTGAGGAGCCTTTCAAAACTATCACCTTACCCTACATTGCTGGGGTCACAAAAAAGATCTCCAAAATCCTGATTAAACACAAGATCCAGGTCCAATTCAACACAGTACATAAAATCCGTGATCTGGTCCCGTCTGTAAAAGACGTGGTTCCAGACATACAGTACCCTGGCGTCTACAAACTAAGTTTCCTCTGTGGTAGCAGTTACATTGGAGAAACCAAACGACATGTCTCGGACCGCATCCGTGAACATAAAGCAGACCTGAAACACGGTAGGACAAACACCTCAGCCGTGGCAGATCACTGTTACAATTCAGTGGGCTCACATGACATTGACTTCTCAAAGACAGAGGTTCTCTGCAAGCCATCTGGTTACCATGAGAGATTCGTTCATGAGGCGATCCACATATACAAACACAGAGACAATTTCAACCGAGAAGATGGATTCTGGCTCAGCAATCATTGGAAGGACGTAATAAACCATTTCGGATCTTAACTGATTGTTGTTCACGTTTACGGTGACTTTCAGACCGCAGTCCACTCACTGGCATTGACTGTATCTTGTGTTCTCCACAGGGAATGCATTATTTGCTCCGCTGCGGGTCTCCCCGCACTGCTCTCCCATTGACATGTTTCATTGCTTATACATACTATTAACATTCCCTCCCTTTGTTAATGCTACCCCCTACCCCCTCCCTTTGATGCTGCTAATCCTGCATAATGCATGGGCATAATATGACTTTGAAACCCCCCCGCCCACCTCCTACGCATTTCCCATGAATATGCTTAATTCCTCTTGATATGCAAATTATTTTGTCAAGGCGCTCTTCTTCCACCTCTAACCCAGCTGATATATAAGCTCCAAGCTTGGCAGTGTATCATTCTTCACCTGAAGACGGCTGCTTGCGTTGTAGTCGAAACGTCGTGAGAATTATTTTATTATTTTATTACTTCCCTTCTACGTGACTTTACCGAAAGAACCAAGAAGATTTAAAATTAGATTTACCTCTCAATAGATGCAAAAGGGGAATAGCACGTTTTACAAAGTCATGTTTCCAGCTCAATCTACAATCAGACACATTCTCTAAACATGTCTACAGATTGTTTTGCTGACTGCAGCATTGGGAGTGTTTGCCATCACAGTCTGAATGCATCACCTTCAATGTAGGGTTACATAAACCCAGAAACCATCGCGAATTGGGGAAGAGGTATGGGTTTGAGAATTACATAATACCAAGAATTTACAACCCTTTGCCAATCTATTGCTGGATTAATAAATCCTTATGCTGTTTGAGCCATGTAAGTTGTGTGACCACACTTCACTATGCTGGTCAGTAAGGGTTGGTGCAGAAAGGGAAACGCCCAGGACCGGTTCAGATATCACTCGCCACTGATGTGAGCCGTGGCCAGGTTCGTAGCAGAGTGCGCTAACCCCTGCGCCACCAGTGCTCCGTGGAGAGTTACGCGTACAGCTCGAGTTATAATTGTTTGTAAAGGGCAATTCTGCTGTATAGTATGTGGAATACGGTTAATGCACTTGCGGGGTTGAGCAACATTCTGCGCATTATTGAACAAAGGTCTTCATCATGGATATTAGTTATTGCAGGCTGGCGGGTAGGCCCTTAGCCGATTGCAGCTACTTCGTACGGTCCTTTTGTGCATGCACTCGCATATCTGCACAGTGCACCAAGTTAACCTTCAGGGACGATAACAAAGACCTGTTTATGGTTAAAACGCATGTAGGACATCCAGGAATAGAAGCACACTTGTTGTTTATTGAACCTGGTGTGTAATAATGTATCGAGTCAACGATTGAAATCGATTATTAAGCTCATGATGCACGTGTCAAATTGCGAAATTCGTGCACGTGTGATAATCAGTAATTTTGCTATTTATGCATTTTTTGATATGTAAGTGACATGCTAATGTGATAATTAGGATATTAGCAAGAACAAGATTTTAAAAAAGAGGAACCGTATAAAGGAGGCATAAAAAAGTATTACAAGAAGACAATTCAACAAATCGATGAGAGAGAGGGGCAGCGGAAGGGAAGTATACATTTTTTTCGGGTAGACTAACATTTACAAATCTTGGCAAAACTTTGCAAGCCTGTTGACTGAAAATACCTCTAAGCCTATAAAAGAGCCTTTGTGGTACCATTAACTTCGCCATCTCTGCGGTAATCAGTACAGATCGTATTGTCTTGAGCCAAGTTCCCGTTGCCTTTATATTCGATACCACGTTTGGAATTTACCTAAAATTATTGGATTCACTGAAGGCCTCCACGTATCATATCTCACACGAGGGTTT